GTGGGGCCAACTCAGAGGATGCCATGCCGGAAGATGTGACAGGGGGCCGGAGATGTGAGATGGCTTGGCCATGAGGGAAGCTCTAGAATTTTGGGAAAGGTATGGAAAAACATGAACGTAGATAGGATAGGTGGCTAGGATAAGATAGGATAGGATAGGATTAGATAGATGGATAGATAGATTAGATTAGATGAGATTAGATTAGATGAGATTAGATTAGATTAGATTGGAAAGATAGATAAATAGATGAGATAGATAGATGAGATAGTTAGATAGATGAGATAGATGAGATAGATGAGATAGATGAGATAGATGAGATAGATGAGATAGATGAGATAGATGAGATAGATGAGATAGATGAGATAGATGAGATAGATCAGTCAGATGAGATAGATCAGTCAGATGAGATAGATCAGATAGATTAGATAGATCAGATAGATTAGATAGATCAGATAGATTAAATAGATCAGTCCGATGAGATAGATCAGATAGATCAGATAGATCGATAGATAGATAGATAGATCGATACATAGACATATATATATATAGATAGATAAGGTAGATAAGGTAGATAAGGTAGATATGATAGATAAGATAGATAAGATAGATAAAATAGATAAGATAGATAAGATAGAAAAGATAGATAAGATAAGATAGATAAAATAGATACGATAGACAAAATATATAAGATAGAAAAGAAAGATAAGATAGATAAGGTAGGTCAGATAGATAAGATAGATAAGATAGATAAGATAGACACGATAGATAATATAGATAAGGTAGAAAAGGTAGATAATATAGATAAGACATATAAGATATATACGATAGATAAGATAGATGATAGATTTGATAAGATAGATAAGATAAGATAAGATCGATAGATAGACAGATAGATAGATAGATAAATAGATAGATAGATAGATAGATAGGATAGATAGAGATATATAGAGATAGATAGATAGATAGATAGATAGATAGATAGATAGATAGATAGATAGATAGATAGATAGATAGATAGATTAGATAGATTAGATAGATAGATAGATAGATAGATAGATAGATAGATAGATAGATAGATAGATAGATAGATAGATAGATAGATTAGATAGATTAGATAGATAGATAGATAGATAGATAGATAGATAGATAGATAGATAGGTAGGTAGATAGATAGATAGATAGATCGAGAGACAAATAGATAGATAGATAGATAGATAGATAGACAGATAGACAGATAGACAGATAGACAGATAGACAGACAGATAGACAGATAGACAGATAGACAGATAAGATTGATAGATAAGATAGACAAGATAGATAAACTAGATAAGATAGATAAGATAGATAAGATAGATAGAATCGATAGACAAAATATATAAGATAGAAAAGAAAGATAAGATAGATAGATAGATAGATAGATAGATAGATAGATAGATAGATAGATAGATAGATAGATAGATAGATAGATAGATAGATAGATAGATAGATAGATAGATAGATAGATAGATAGATAGATAGATAGATAGGATAGATGGATAGGATAGATAGGATAGATAGGCTAGATAGATAGGGATAGATAGATAGATAGGATAGATAGGATAGATAGATAGATAGATAGATAGGATAGATAGGATAGATAGGATAGATAGGATAGATAGGATAGATAGGATAGATAGGATAGATAGGATAGATAGGATAGATAGATAGGTAGGTAGATAGATAGATAGATAGATAGACAGCAACACTATAATATATATATATATATTAAGTATATATACATATATAATATTTAAGGGCTGCCGCCCCTGCCGCCGACCCCGGAAAAGAATGTGAAGAAGCTGGGGAAGGCCAGAGACTTCGGACAAAGTGACATAGTCGGTGGATTACCAAGGTCACAAGATTGACCTAAATATTCTTCAGTGCTTCGCACTTTCAGGCCCCCCCTTGTTTATATGTATATTTCATAAGGTATATTTAATATTTTTGAATGCAATATATTTGACAAGATATTTTGATATAGTAAGAACACCCACCCACCAAACCCCTTCACCCCCCTGAGCAGTTCCTCGACGACTTCAACCAGAGTCTGGGTCTTGAGCTCGTGAATTATTAAATAAACCTTCCCATTAACCCCCCCCCCGTCTGTGGCAAGGTGCAGTGTTGTGCCATGGCAAGGCGTAGACACGAAGAAAGACACACAGTATGCATAGCATCCATTATTTCCGGTACTAATAGTTCAGGTATTCTATTCAAATTATAGGGATTTGGTATCGCAGCTTTAGGGTTCTTGGTGTCCAAAAAAGATGTGGGAAAATATGATGGCTGGACATGCTCGGCCATCGTATTTTCCCACGTCCTCTTTTTCTGGGTCCCATGGAAGCGCGGCAAAATCGGGAAAAAAAACAAACACACAAAATTGCAAACACGGAACAGAAGACACTTTCATGGTATTTGGTGTTTTCAAAGTTTCTTGGTGTCTTCAATTTTTTGTTGCATCAATAAAAATATGTATATATATATGTAAATATAAACATTTGCATTAGTTACAGATATATACCAGGACTTTGTCCTTGAAAATAAATACCATAGCCAGGACCATGACATGCATGAAACAGTAACTAGTCTGCCGAACAGGCAGTGTCCTGAACAGGGACGTTTTTTTTCTTTTAAATACTAAACATATGTAGTCCAGGACTCTGTCTTTGGAGTTAAATATATATATATATACCAGGACCTTGTCCTTGGAGTTACATATGTAGATATAGTCCAGGACCTTGTCCTTGGAGTTACATATGTATATATAGCCCAGGACTCTGTCCTTAGAGTTAAATATGTATATATATATATATACCAGGACCTTGTCCTTGGAGTTATACAAATATGTGTAGCTTAGTTCCACTTTAATAAACATGAGTCCAGATTTTTGTCCTTGGAAATTTCTTACCATGTCTTCTGTCCTTGCAATTTGATGGACTTTGGCTGGTATGTATGTATGCAATGTAACGTTATGTAGTGTAGTGTACTGTACTGTAAATGTACTGTAAATGTACTGTCATTGTATTGTATTGTAACGGAATGTAATGCAATGTAATGTATTGTAATATGTATTTATATATATATAAGTATTGAAATATAAATACATATATATATATGTAAATAGAAACATTTCCATTAGTTACAGATGTATACCAGGACTTTGCCTTGAAAATAAATACCATAGCCAGGACCATGACATGCATGAAACAGTAACTAGTCTGCCGAACAGGCAGTGTCCTGAACAGGGACGTTTTTTTTTTTAATACTAAACATATGTAGTCCAGGACTCTGTCCTTGGAGTTATATATATATATACCAGGACCTTGTCCTTGGAGTTACATATGTAGATATAGTCCAGGACTTTGTCCTTGGAGTTATGTATATATATATAGACCAGGACCTTGTCCTTGGAGTTATATTTGTATATATAGTCCAGGACGCTGTCCTTGGAGTTAAATATATATATATATGCCAGGACCTTGTCCTTGGAGCTATGTATATATATTTATATAGTCCAGGACTTTGTCCTTGGAGTTATGTGTATATATATATATACATAGACCAGGACCTTGTCCTTGGAGATACATATGTATATATAGCCCAGGACTCTGTCCTTAGAATTAAATATGTATATATATATAAATATATATATATATACCAGGACCTTGTCCTTGGAGTTATACACATATATGTAGCTTAGTTCCACTTTAATAAACATGAGTCCAGATTTTTGTCCTTGGAAATTTCTTACCATGACTTCTGTCCTTGCAATTTGATGGACTTTGGCTGGTATGTATGTATGCAATGTAACGTTATGTAGTGTAGTGTACTGTACTGTAAATGTACTGTATAGTAAATGTACGGTAAAAACCCTCAGTTTGCCCGCGCCAACGCCGACGACGTGTCCGAACATCAAAAAATACTGCGTTTTGTGGGACAAAATGCACATGTCCATGATCATGGCTTTCATCTTGCAACGCACAGCTTAGCTACCTGTGCGTTGAATGTTACAACAACATCGTCATCATCATCATCAGAATCATCATCATCATCATCATCATCAATCATCATCATCATCATCATCATCATCAAACCCTTATTGAAGATCTTCAATGAATGTAGAAGTTTAATGGGGTGGGAAAACTAAACCCTTATTGAAGATCTTCAATGAATGTAGAAGTTTAACAGCGGTGGGAGAATTGACCCCTTATTGAGGATCTTCAATGAATGTAGAAGTTTAACGGGGGTGGGAGAATTAAACCCTTATTGAAGATCTTCAATGAATGTAGAAGTTTAACGGGGGTTGCAGAATTAAACCCTTATTGAAGATCTTCAATGCATGTAGAAGTTTAACGGGGGTGGGAGAATTAAACTCTTATTGAAGATCTTCAATGCATGTAGAAGTTTAACGGGGGTGGGAGAATTAAACTCTTATTGAAGATCTTCAATGAATGTAGAAGTTTTTAACGGGGGTGGGACTGCAATATTCCCTGCTACCTTTGTTGATTTTCCCAATTGAATGTAAAGTTTAACGGGGGTGGGAATTTATATTCCTAATACTCTGGTTGATCTTCCCAATTGAATGTAAAGTTTAACGGGGGTCGGAATTTATATTCCTTCAAAATCCCTAAGAAGTTGTGTGGGCGAACTGGGGGGTTTGCGCGTAAATGTACTGTCATTGTATTGTATTGTAACGGAATGTAATGCAATGTAATGTAATGTAATATGTATGTATGTGTATATATATAAGTATTTAAATATAAATACATATATATATGTATGTAAATAGAAACATTTCCATTAGTTACAGATGTATACCAGGACTTTGTCCTTGAAAATAAATACCATAGCCAGGACCATGACATGCATGAAACAGTAACTAGTCTGCCGAACAGGCAGTGTCCTGAACAGGGACGTTTTTTTTTTTAAATACTAAACATATGTAGTCCAGGACTCTGTCCTTG